ACAGGGTTCTAGAGGGGAGGGGGGTGGGGGGATGGGTTAGCCTGGTGATGGGTATTAAGGAGGGCACGTACTGAATGGAGCACTGGGTGTTATACACAAACAATGAATCATGGAACATTACATCAAAAACTAATGATGTAGTGTATGGTGATTAACATAACATAATAAAAAAAAATATGGACCTCATCCTAGCTTTTCTACAACTTTATGTATGACTTCATATTTACTTCTTATTTACCCATTCATGTTATATATTAATTTCAGGTGTTTATGGTACAGAATATAAGGAATATATCACTGACAAATAAAATTGAGAGAAATATATGATAGTTCTTTTGGTGAATAATACCATTAATGGTGTTAAAACTTTTAGGTTTTTTATCAAAACATTTTCCATTACTTGGTTTTATTGAGCATTTAATTTTATTTTAGGTTTATGAAGAAGCTGGTTCTGATTTTCATCAAGTTGCCTATTTTAAAACCAGAATTGGATTAAGAAATGCCCTCCGAGAAGAAATCAGTGGTTCTTCAGATAGAGAAGCTGTGCTTATTACCTTGAATAGACCAATTGTTTATGCACAGCCTGTGGCCTTTGATAGAGGTAAGATAAAGTCCATTAACACTATCTTGTAGGATTTAGAAATGTTTTGGCAATGTTGGATAAAAACCATCTGTACTTTACTAGTGTAAATGCTTGACAGCTAAATGTCTCCTAAAGCTGAAATGTGAGCATCCAAAACAAGTGTTTTGCTTATTCCTTTCAGTTTTTAAAGTTACTTCTTTTTAAAGTCATTTGCTTTCTACATGGATATATAGGATGTCTGATTCAGAATTTTAATTTTAATACTAAGTTTTTTCGTTTCAGAAACTAATGCACTCATTTGTTTTGGCACTGTCTTTATTCATTTATTCTGTAAACATTTACTGTCTGGAAGTGGAATACAAATACAGAAAACAGGATTCCCTGCCCTCAAGGACCTCTCAGTCCAGTGGAAGAAAGCCAAGTACACTAAAGAGAGGAGTTAGAGATACCTGTTGTCATATCTGAGGGAGCTTCTAAGTTTGCCTGTGCTGCTTAGAGGAGAAAGTAATTCTTCAGATTTGACTTGGAGTTAGGAGTTCACCAGGGAGACAAGGAAATGAAGCTAGTCTTATTTACCTTTGTATCTGAAGGTCTAGAATAGTGCTTAGCTTATAGTAAGAACTAAATAAATGTTTACCAAATGAGGGAATATGAATGAATATATATTAACACAGAGGTCTAAAACATGTAGGAGCTTTCATAAATAATAGGAAATAAGACTGAACAGATAGATAGGGTCTAATTAATGTATATTGGGCATATATGTTAGAATTGTAGAAGTAATGAAGAACCATTTTTGAAGCCATTTAAGATTTAAATTGGTGGTAGGCATTGGCTGGTAATAAGTTTGTTAGAAAACTATTCTTTTGGCAGTGTTATAGATAATGTTTTATTTTGCTAAATTCTGTGCACTTTTTTTCATTTCACATCTAACTAACCTCTCATCAGCTTTCAACAACTCCTTAAAATACTTTTTACTCTTTGTGTCCATGACACTTTTCCTTCTGCTTCCCTAGCCCCTTCATTTTATCTCCTCGTTAGGCTCCTCCTTCTGTACACTGCATTAAATGAGGGTTTTCCATAAGGTGCCATTCTTGTTACAGACTCAGATGTCTTGGCCTCTCTTTGTAGGTCCTATCTTCTTAATATATAGTCCTACTGTTATGTGCCTCTCCTTCAAGAATTTTTAACAGTAGTAACAGTAAGCTCTACAAGGTCAGGGACCATGTTCTCTTTTCATTTCATTCTTATTGCATCCTAGTGCATAGCATCTAATAGGCATTTCACAAATAATTTGTTAAATGAACAAATGGACCTAGAATATTTTCTTCTTTCTGCCGTTAGGCAGTTGCCTGCTTTCATTTGTCAAATTGACTGTATCCTCTTAGATCCTTTCTAATTCTAATGCTATAATTTTCTCATGGGAGTAATTTTTATTAATCAGCTAGATTTTGAAGCTACCGAGTTTTACTTGCCTTCTAGCTTTACAGCTTTGATTTTAATTTTCTTTCTACCCCACCTTAATTATAAAAAGCTGTGCTATTTTGGCTGAATTATAAGGCTGCCTATGACAACTGGAATGAACAACGAATGGCTTTACATAAAGATATTCATATGGCTACAAAGGAAGTAGTAGATATGCTACCAGGTATCCAGCAAACATCAGCCCAGGCCTTTGGGACTCTCTTCCTCCAGCTCACTGTGAATGATCTGGGAATATGTCTGCCCATCACAAATACTGCACAGGTACAAAAAATCATAGTCCAAGATTAAGAGTATAATATTCTACTAACCATTTCTTTGTATATGGAGTATAATAATTTTTTCATATTAACAGTTTATAACTTGAGTTTAGTAAATAGCAAGTAAGATTGTGTTCCTTCAGCCATTATTCATCCACAGTGTATTAAATATGAATCTCATGAGACTTTGCTCTGAAGCACTCTGCCACAGAATTGTGATGAGATTGATACCCATCTGATAAATCTTAATTTTTACCTTGAAAAATAAGCAGCTTAGTTTTCAGATTTTTTTTTTTAAGATTTTATTTATTTATTTGACAGAGAGATAGAGAGCACAAGTAGGCAGACTGGCAGGCAGAGGGAGAGGGAGAAGCAGGCTCTCCCGCTGAGCAGGGAGCCTGACGTGGGGCTCGATCCCAGGACCCCAGGATCATGACCTGAGCCAAAGGCAGCTGCCCAACTGACTGAGCCACCCACGCACCCCCAGAATATTTTTATTGTTTTGTTTTTTAGCAAAAAAGTCTTTGGCATACACTTGTTAATAAAGTAGAAGCAAAAGAACATTTAAGAATACTGTTTAATAGGGGCGCCTGGGTGGCTCAGTCGGTTAAGCGACTGCCTTCGGCTCAGGTCATGATCCTGGGGTCCTGGGATCGAGCCCCGCATCGGGCTCCTTGCTCTGCGGGGAGCCTGCTTCTCCCTCTCCTCCCCACTTGTGCTCTCTCTCACTATCTCTGTCTCTCTCTCTCTCAAATAAATAAATAAAATCAAAAAAAAAAATAAAAAAAAAGAATACTGTTTAATAATGTTCAATAATCTCATCTAAAATAGGGTAGGGGATTTCAAAATGCCTTTAAAGCTGCAATATTTAATGGTAATGAAACTTCCAAGTTATGTATGCCAGATGAAGCAAGAATTTTCATAATTTATGGACACGCATATGAGACAAAAAAGGGCTATAAACCCCTATCAGGCCTAAGAGGTTACAATTATATCAAATACAGAGGTCTGTTTTACTGTTAAAATTTACCTTAACCTGTAACCAGTTGTTGAATGAATTTAACTTTTAGTATTTGTTTAGCAAGACATTGTGAAGAAAAACTCTGGGTCAATCATTGGCAACATGTAGTATATTTATACCTCAGGAGTTGAAAAATGGTGATTTTTTAATGGCATTATGGACAGAGCACTGGAAAGCCATATACACCAGAGGTGGCTAAAACAGAAGCTTGAGATAGAAAACTAGATGATTAGGGGCACCTCGGTGGCTCAGTTAAGTGTTGGACTGTTGATTTCAGGTCAGGTCATGATCTCAGGGTAGTGAGATCAAACCTCACATGGAGACTCATGTGGAGCCCTGCTGGGGCTCAATGCGAAATGGAGCCTGCTTAAGATTCTCTCCCTCTCCCCCTCACCTGCTCGTGCTCTCTCTCTCTCTAAAAACAAAACAAAACAAGCCCCCCAAAACGAGATAATTAACTTTTGTGAGTTTTTTTAAGATTTATTTATTTATTTGAGAGAGAGCACATGCATGTGAGTGGGGGAGGGGCAGAGGGAGAAGAAGAGAATCTCAAGCAGACTCCCCACTGAGCTCAGAGCCCCACCTGGGGCTTGATCCCACGACCCTGAGATCATGACCTGCACCGGAATCAAGAGTCAGACACTTAACCGACTCAGCCATGCAGGCACCCCTACCTTTTGCAAGTTTAAAAAAAAAAAAAAAAAGAGGACAATTATATGGTTTCACTCATATGTCGAACATAAGGAATAGCGTGGAGGACCACAGGGTAAGGGAGGGAAAACTGAATGGGAAGAAATCAGAGAGAGAGACAAACCATGAGAGACTCTGGACTCCGGGAAACTGAGTGTTATAGAAGGGAGGAGGGTGGAGGGATGGGGTAACCAGATGCTGGGCATTAAGGAGGGCACGTGTTGTGATGAGCACTGGGTGTTATACGCAACTAATGAGTCATTAAACACTACATCAAAAACTAATGATGTACTATATGTTGGCTAATTGAACAATAATAAAAAAAAGATGCACGTGACAAATGTATTCACTTCAACAATTTAATTTTTAAAAGTAGACATCTTTCTAAGCTGCTTTTTAATGAAGATTTCTAGTCTTGACTTTTTCTAAACTTTTTTTCCTATGAATCCTGTGAGAATTTCCAAATTTAAAACATTCTATCTTTTGTCTTATTTTTTAATATATTTTGCAGTCTAATCACACTGGAGACCTTGACATTGGTTCTGCTTTAGTATTGACCATTGAAAGTACTCTCATCACTGCTTGTTCTTCAGAATCTCTGGTTAGTAAAGGGCATTTCAAAAACTTTTGTATTCGTTTTGCTGATGGCTTTGAGACGTCGTGGGATGACTGGAAACCAGAAATTCGTGGCGATCTAGTGATGAATGCCTGTGAGTGTCTTTTATTTTCTGCATGAGGTTTAGAATTTTTTTAATAAAAAAAGCAAAAACAGTGTCTTCATTTGTAAAACCATAGGATGCTTAAGTTATTGGACTTTCTGAAATAAGGGCTATTTTTAGTTAAAGGGAGGTCATATTTGTGAAACACTACAGCTTTCTGTAGTTTTGGTAAGTGAATCAACTAGGCATTCTTCTTGACAGTCTAACATTTGAAGATTCGTTTACTACCTGATTTTTTTTCCTATAATTGATTAATGAATGACCAGATAAAGCATCTTTGCTCTGTGGGGATCTTCAAAGGAAGTGATAAATGTGCAGGATCCAGTTCATCATATAACATAGAACCACAGGTTGTAGATAACCAGGAACAGGAACTCCAGCCATAAAATAATATTGATATGAGTAAATTCATGTGTCTAAATTTGTAAGCTACAGTGTATAACTTGTGTGAATTCCTCTGATTCCATAATACTCAAGGCTGGGTGTAACTAAAGCTGTGTTTATATACAGTTTCGAAGGTATATGGGTTTATTTTTATTTTAATATATTTGAAGGTATATGGGTTTATTTTTATTTAATATAATAATATATTTTAAAACATTATAGCAGAGTTAATAAATCATCATTGATCTTCTAATAAAGGAAAACTACACTTGAGGAATTAAAGGTTGCGAACTAAAATTCCTCAGCCAATCTCTAAACCAAAATTAATACTTAACTTCACAAAAGGTGGTTTGCTGTTGTTTATGCAGTGTTTTCCCTTCTCCACTGGAAGAAAATCTTCTTTCCAGTTCTAGGTCTTCTTTAAAGAACAAGAAAACTTTTCATTATTTTTATATCAAAAATTGAAGTTTTGGCATTCCATTTTGATTAAAACTTAGATAAAATTATAGGTGAAATTCTGTTCTTGACTGCTTCTTAGATAATTCGTAGGTGAAATACTGGAACTTCTGTGAAATACTTGAGGTTACTAAGAAGACTTGATATCAAAGTACTTATGCTTAATATCCACTATCCACAAGAACAAAAATAGCCTTCATCAGAAATCTTTACAAATAAGCTTTTATACAGTTGTTATATATATTTTTAAAAGTCACTATAACTCTTTTGTCTGTTTTTTCTTAAAATAAATTTAAATTACTGGTTTGTAATAAGATGACCTTTGCCCTTTTTATAATCATTAAAATGGATAAATATATTTGGAAGCAGAGAGAATACCATTTCCTTAATAGTTTATTATAAAGGGAAAATGCCTGAGAAATATGCCTCTGAATCAAAATCAAAAACATGTATTAAAAATATATAAACAATAACTAGTACCTCAGTGTATATTATACCAACTAAGTAGAATACTAACATGCTGATAATTGTAATAATCATGGTTTATTTGAGGTTTTGTAGGATACTAAATGACTTGTTTTTATAACATGCTTTTTGTTTGGTGTCTTGGGAAGGAAGCAGAAGAGTTGAGTGGTTGTTTTATTAATATAAGTATTCTAAATTATAACAGTGGCAAATTAGTTTTTATTAGTAATAATAAATAGAATAAAAATGACATTATATATTTTTGACAAAAAGGTCTGAATTAGGGTAGAGAAACAAAGAACAGTAGAGTTATGCTGTAGGATTTTTTTTTTAACAGATCATTTTAAAATCAGGCCCTAGAAAAAAGATGGCTCGGTGGAATTGCCTCTATAGGGTGATGATGTTTTCTAGGAAATGCAGTAAAAATTAGAAAGGACAATCTGTAGATAGAATTCAAAGGACCACATAAGTAGATAGAAAAGATCAGAATCTTCACTAACATTTATTTATAAAAATTATATAAACTGGGGGCACCTGGGTGGCTCAGTCGTTAAGCATCTGCCTTTGGCTCAGGTCATGATCCCAGGTCCTGGGATCGAGCCCCCCATCGGGCTACCCGCTCAGCGGGAAGCCTGCTTCTCCCTCTACCACTCCCCCTGCTTGTGTTGTTCCCTCTCTCGCTGTCTGTCAAATTAAAAAAAATAAATAAATCTTTAAAAAAAATTTATATAAACCATTAAAAGTTTGAAACTGTAGCATGGTGAGGGGGGGTCGGTGTAGAAGAAGTTTGAAAGACTCCAAGCTCTATGTTAACACCTGGATAACATTAGGTCGAAAGAGCAGGAAAATTGCTATCCTGAATTCAGACTAATGGTTGATCCAACTCGGCTTTCTGTCTCTGACTCAGAGACCATGGGCACAACAGGGAAGAGGCTAGGTGATTGCCTTCTCCTCATTTTGAGGATTTGGATCTACTCCTAAAAATCTTAATATTCCTTTTTAGTTCATCATGGCTCTGTAATATATGAATTTATATAATTTTTTTAAACTTAATTTTTAAAAATTCTCTGACACTTCTTGGAATTGGAAGTCCTGAAAGTTTTCTATCCCTCTTTTATTTACTACCTTTCATTTGTCTCCATTATGTTACTCAAATTTCAGAGGATTTTCTTTTCATTCTAGCATTCTTAGATTTGAAAGAATTATCTAAGTTCCTTTTGTTCTGATTTGTAACCCCATGACTGTAAAGGTGAGTTGGGCAATCTTTTACGCTAAGACAAGATCTAGTTTTCTAATATTCTGTAATTTATATACGAAGCACAGGTACCACATGGTTCAAAAATATAATTTAGATTTTAAAATTATTGGCATTATCTTTTAAAAACCCACATAATATTATTACTTAATAGACTCTTTCTCCCAAAATAAGTTATAGTATTTCTGCAGCTCAGATTTGAGTAACATTTGAATACCCACTTAGGATACAGAATGAATTGCAAAAGGACATTTCATTTAAGATTTATGTACTGCCAGGTTTAGATTGAAATTTGGTTTCTATGAAGGATTACTGAGAGTCTTAACCCTGTCCTTAGACTTTACTTTTTTGAAAAGTTGTTTCAAAGGTGGTATGTCCCTTTACTGTTTAAAATTGTTGATTTAGTTCACCTCTTTTTTTTTTTGAAGTTGAAGTTATCAGATTAAAGCTAAGTGATAGTAAATATTTCAGAGTTAAAGTTAGATACGTTCTGAGGATAAGCCCATGACCTTAAGAGAGTAATTGTATGAGACTGACATAATGGTAGTCAGTCATTTTTTTTCTCATAAAATGATCCATGAGGGGCGCCTGGGTGGCTCAGTCGTTAAGCGTCTGCCTTTGGCTCAGGTCATGGTCCCAGGGTACTGGGATCAAGCCCCACATTGGGCTCCCTGCTCAGCGGGGAGCCTGCTTCTCCCTCTCCCACTCCCCCTGCTTGTGCTCACTCTCTTGCTGTTTCTCTCTTTGTCAAGTAAATAAATGAAATCTTTAAAAAAAAAAAAAAGATCCATGAAAAGACAAGGCTGATAAATCCTGTCTGTGACCTAAATGTGGAAGTTCTTATTAACAGAAAATTATTTTTTAAATCATTTGCATTGTCAAAGTGCCATTTACATGATGGCACAAATTGTCATACCATCTAGAAACTAGAGCTTCAGAGTTGGCCAGGTATTGTCACATGCAGAATGTAAAGATAAAGCTGCAGTTAAATTCTTAAAAGCATAAAATAAAAAATGTTGAGATATGGAATATTAGGAGTCATCTAAGGTAGATGTTTCATTCTGCAGACTAGAAATTGAAGCCTAAAGAGGCTAGTGATTCTGTTTATATTTAGATAATAGTCTTTGGGTGAAACATTACATTATTTATTCACAAGCATAATTTTTTTTTAATTTTATCTTATTATGTTATGTTAGTCACTATACATTACATCATTAGTTTTTGATGTAGTGATCCATGATTCATTGTTTGTATATAACACCCAGTACTCCATGCAATACGCACCCTCCTTACTACCCATCACTGGGCTAACCCATCCCCCCACCCCCCACCCCTCTAAAACCCTCAGTTTGTTTCTCAGAGTCCATAGTCTCTCATGGTTCATCTCCCCCTCCAATTCCCCCCTTCATTTTTCCCTTCCTACTATCTTCTTTTTTTTTTTAATATATAATGTATTATTTGTTTCAGAGGTATAGGTCTGTGATTCATCAGTCTTACACAATTCACAGCGCTCACCATAGCACATACCCTCCCCAAT